AATAACACCTAAAAACCTCTGAAATGGAGCTAAGAACAACTGATCATGCATGCTATCCTTATGAGCCAAAGATGCAAACAAAAGAGAGAACAAGGGAGAGGGGTGTCCCTCCCCTATGCAAGATCTCAAAACCCCTTCTTTACCACTAAAAATCCACTGGATTTCAGTGGTGAGAAGGCTAATACTCAAGGGTAACCAAAGCTTAGCAAAGAGAGCATCAAAAGGGCCAAACAAGGCCTAAGAGGGGGAGATCGACCCCCAACACCAAAACAACCATAATGAAGTTTCTTAAGCATGCAAATACAAGACTTATTTCAGTTATACACAAAGTCTAAAACAATGAGCAAGATAGGCAAAAGTCTAGTGCAAGATTGGGGAATCTAAAGTAAAAGAGTTACCCTTGAAGAACCCCTGATGAACAACAAGTGCAGCCTTCTTCTTTTGATCAAAACCAATCCAAAACCTCAAGAACAGTCCCTCAAAGCCTCTCAAATTCGAAGTATGGTGTAGTAGTGTGTGTTTGTGTGCAAAACTAAGGACAAAATACACCTTAAGGCCCTCAAACACACACAAATGATGAGAGAGAGGGAGATATAGAGAGAGAAGGCATATCTCAGATGTATATATGTATATACAAAGGAGGTAAGGTAATTGAACCAAACAAAGGAGGAGGAGGGGCTCTTATATAGGCAAGGTAATTGGCCAAAGCTTCTAAGGGAAGCTACTCAAATGGGTCAAGGCTTACAAGGGAAGCCAAGCTAAGGGTGCAAGGCTTCCTGAGGAAGCTAGGACAGCTGGAAAGCTTCTTGAGGAAGCTTTGGAAAATGGTCAAGCTTCCTCAAGAAGCTTTGACCAAAAGGGTGCAAAAAGGACAAAACAGCCACCTGTATGCCCCGGGGCAGGTTTGGTGCATTCCAGCTGGCACAGCTGGCATGCACCATGCCTGAAAAAGGTAAAAAGGTGCTACCGGCCAAAAAAGGATGTCATCGGCCAAACAGATGGCCGGTCGGCCATACTGAATGCCGACTGGCCAATGGTATAATTCACCAATGGCCGGTAGCCTCAAAATATGGCCGGTGGCCTCAAACCAAGGCCGGTGGGTGTCAGGGGTAGCTAACAAGCTACATTCTACCCTCAAAAGGAAAAACACAAGTGTTTGGTAAAAAACCAAACACAGAACAATCAAGTTGAGAGATTCTGAGGCAAGGCGCATAGCCGAGACCTCCGGGAACTCAAAACGAAACACAAACATAAGTAATCACCGAGTGTTCGAGCGGTGACGTCCAAGTCTTAAGGACGGTCAAAAATGGGGTGTCTACACATACTATTCGGGCCGTGCCAAGCACCGATCATCAATTGCTACGCTTCCCGAGCCAACACAGCGTTGAGCAAATTCGTGGTTCCTGGCAATCCGGATAAGCACGCTATCTCCTTTCCGGAAAGACACCAATGGAGACACAGGTCAACTCCACTGAAGTGTCGAATCGAGACAGTCTCATTGATGTCGGACGACTTCCTGACGATAAGCCACGGAAGCTCTAGGTGATACCAGATGATAGGGGACCGATTGTGTCACGCCTCAAACCTGCCCCTAAAAGTTTGGGCATGACCTATTCGGAAACGGACGTGTAACCTAGTATACTTAACATACGGGGCCTTATCGGAAGCATAAAATACAAACATAATATAGATACAAACATACTCGATTGTGCTATTTCTAATATGCCAAGATCACATGCATCACATACACCATCAAAGGCAGACAAAGTTTGAAATTATATCCCTGGACATCGGTTATATCCACATACATTTACAGTTCCAGCCCCATGATTGGGCGTATACAAAAACAGAAAAGTTATGTACATCAACCTTAGATGGACACTTAAATAGCAAGCCGACATCATAAAAACTTCACAAAATGAATGGCTTTGTATAGTGCCTGAACACGTAAAGGTTGACAAAAGAAAGCAACGTCATGGCTAGGACTGACCACCTGATTGATGACCTACAAAAACAGACATAACAGAGGGTGAGCCGGGCTCAGTGAATAGTAATACATAAATAAAACAATGCTTAGCTTGAAACATAATACATAACAATGCATATAAAGATGCAGATTTCACATCGTCAGTCTGATTCTCTGCTAAGTACATGACGGCCTTAGGCCCAATCTTGCAACATAAACATGATGGCTATAAGCCCTTGAACATATGGCATGAAGCCCTTGAAACATGGTGGCACAAGGCCCTTGAAACATGGTGGCTAGAAGCCCTTCAAACATATGGCGTAAACGCCCTTGAAACATGTGGCATTTAAGCCCTTGAACATATTGGCGTGAAAGCCCTTGAAATATATGGCACGAGGCCCTTGAAACATATGGCACGAGGCCCTTGATGCATATGGCATTAAAGCCCTTACATCATAAGAATAGGTGAGGTGATCATACATTTACATTTCTTTAATCATTCGCATGGTGCATAATCAACATGTACAATAGAATGTTAATGGCATTCATTAGCTATAAGTACAACGTACTACTACTCACAGTGTTGAGATGACGTGTTACTTCCTCCCGGAGTGTGTCCTGCACACATTCAAAATTTGCGCATTAGTTCCCTTTTCCTTCTTAAGTCATTTCCTGAGGCATTACACTTTGCATGAATTTACAACCATTTTAAGGTCATCACAAAAATATTCTAAAAATACCAGAGAGTCAAGCATGCAAAACTGAGTGAACCATTTTTTCCAGCCCGGGCCGCATGTGCGGCCGGACCCTCCGCTTGAGCGGCCATGCACCGCACGTGCGGTCCTCCCCCTCTACTCGAGCGGCCGTAGACAGTATGCATTCCTAGTTTTTTCTTTCTTGGCCGCACGCGCGGCCATGACCTCCGCACATGCGGTGGTGACCCCTGTTTTGGGGCAGCTTGGTTCCAACCCAAATTTCAACATCACCAAGTCAATTTACTTGCAAACCAAGATGAAATTCATGCAATATATTAACCTAACATCACCATAGCATGGATTGGAACTTGAGAAACCCAAAATTCACATCTTTAGAAGCTTAATCAAGTCACAACTTTTTCAATTTCCATCCTTGAATTCAAGTCAAATAAAATCTACCTTGGCCAATACATAGAAATGATTCCACTTAGATGAATTTTACACAAGAATGAAGCCTAAAAATCACCTACGAACATAATCACAACCCATGTGGACATGAACTAGGTCCTTACTTCATAACCCATAAACAAAACTTGATTGTTACATACATAGCCATGTTCATATCTTGGTGTTCAAGTATATCAAGGAGGATGAAATGTGATTTCCCTTACAAGTTTCAAAATAACACATCAATCAACATGAAGAAACACTTATTCAATTCTTTGGGTGCCATACACACACACACACGACCTTAATTTGTTTGAACATCCAAGAAATTCTTCATCTCTTAACAAGAGAGGAGTTAATGAAAGTAAATCACCCATACCTTCAGCTTCAATTTCTGTCCAAACCCTTCTAATTTTGCCCCAACTCACCTCCTTGCTGTTTCCCCTTTTCTTCCTTCTTCTCTTATTCTCTTACCCTCTCCAAGAGATAGCCACGAAAATTGAATCCCCAAATCAAATGTTTGATAGATAGATATAAAGGTGAATAGGACGAAATCCAATCGTTTAGTCATTCCGAAATTAAAATTTCGTAAACATGCTTAATATTACTTAAAAATTATATTGATCACAGATATATAATCAATTTCAGATAATTAGGTTGTTAAGGCCTCCAATTTCTAATTCAAATGTGTGAATAGTGACAGCTAATGTTCTTGTGAAACAGATAGACACCCTAAAACATGGAGTTCGTTTCCTTAATCTTAATTTCTCGTCAGATTTCACAACAAGCATTAAAAGCACAAATTAAGGACGGAAAATATATCAGAGGACATGTGAGAGGGTCGGGTTATTACAAGTACTAAGAAGGATCCTGGCTCGATCCACATTGGTTCCGCACTACCTTCAGCGCGAGCGACTAGTCGCTTTCTTAAAAGATTTCAAAAAATGTTTTGCGCGGTCATGCGAAGACCTGTGTGAAATCGCTTTTGAGATTGTGCAGCTTAGGATCGCTCTCAGCCTCGAGACTCGACCCTTTGCTTTCGAACCTTGAACTTGGATTCAGAATGTTCAACGGTCAACCACCATGAAAGGCCTGTGTGCCGAATCAGAAGCAACCCTCGAACTAGGGGCAGGGAAGTCAGATCAAGAAGATCAGATGTCATCAAAAGGTCATGATACGAACCGTTGCATCCGCCTCCGTTATAAGATTCCAGATCTTATTAACGAAGAGACCCTAGCTCCAGCTAGTATGGGAACACAAACCCCGGTTTTACCGAGGCACCCCTTTTGACCATTCGACCTAGTG